CAAAATACTTAAGTAAGCTAGAAATGCTGACAACTTAAGCTGAAAAAAAGTACATTAATGCTTATTATTAGTGCAGAAAACCTTCAAAGTTACAGTTCCACAACTCTTCCACCATTTGGGTCTGGTTTAGATGGCTTTAAAGTGCTTAGACCTCAGCAGAAGGTATCCTCGCCTTGTAAAGGGAACAGAGCTTGGGTTCAGGGAACATAATATTAAAAATAAACCTTTTCATTAGTCATGAATGCTCTCAGCTTGAACAGGAGATTCTTCAAGAGCTGGATGCATCTAGAAGGAGACTTATGAACCTCTGTGGTACAGATCCGAGTCATCACTTTCATGTGGTTGGAGGAGAAACTGGGAACCACATTTCACTGGCCACAAACATATGTTTTTTCCTGTTACAAAAACCTCAGCGAGCACAGGAGCTGGAATTCAGGTTATTTTTCCCTTGGGGCTTTTTGTTTGTTTGTTTAGGTCTGTTGTTTTTAATCCTTATGGACTTTAACCCAAAAAGTTTGCTGCATGTGTTCTCTTCACCTTCTTGATAAGGTTTTGCAAGATTTGAAAACATTAGAGTACACTTCTTTCAGAGTGTACATTTTAGTCTACAGCACTACATTTTAGTGCTGTACACTACATCAGCACATTTTAGTCTGGCCAGGAACTTGGTGTTACATCCTCATAACTAGAAAGCAAACATAAGATTTGCATTCTCACTTTAAAAGCCTATGAGTCACTCATATTTTACTTACAAAGTATCTTTCACTAAGTTTTCTTCCCCTAGTTTGATGGAAATACAGAAAACTGATGAAAAAATAAAATGGAGTATATTTTAACAAATAACTAGATCCTTCCTAGGAAGGGGACAACAGAGTTATTCAGCCTTCAGCATGACACCACTCAAGGCATCAAACTGAAGAAGACTGGAATTCTCTGAACAACTGAAGTTGACCATTAAATAGATGAAAGTGAGTTGCAGTGAAAAAGTGACACCAACCAAAAGGTTGTTAATGGTATTTAATTATCAGCTAAGAAACCAGACTTAATTTATATTCTTAATAACAACCTTAGCACAAGAAATAAACAAAACACTAATTAAAAATCCTGGAGTCAAACACAGGAAATATACTCATCTTCCTCTACAGAGATGCCAAACAGGAAAACTTGAAGGACTGAAAATCTGAGCAACAGAAACAGGATGAATGTTCCTCACTAAAGCATGTGAATAGAGGAACACAGTAAAAAGCTCTTGTTGGTCTCTCAAGTGGGATTTCAGCCATATAAAACAGTGACAGAAGGACCTGAGTGCATTACCAAATACAAAATGCCATCAGTCATGAGGCTGATGCAGCCACTAGAACCCACAGCCCCAGGATGCAGTAATCTGGCAATAAAAAAGGGTACAAAGCTGCCATCACAGAGTACAGCACTTCACCTCTCATTCACCTCAGGAGGAAGTTCAAACAGGAGCAGGTACAAAAACAAGCCACTGAAAAAGTCAGGATATGAAGTACTTTTCTCCATGTAGAGCAAGAGCTTCTGGTTCTATTCCTTACCAAAAAAAAAACAAAACCAAACACCACCAAATTGGAGCAAGGCCGGCATTACCTTCTGTAACTCTTTATTCCCTCCTTGTCCCAAAAGAAACAAAGTGACTGAGCTCATCACTTCCTGCAGGAGGGCAAAGAAGGGAGAGGATTGAGCCCATCTCCCTGTCTCTGTGCATGTCTAAGGACAACAGCACTCGTCTGTGTCCCTGGAGAGAAGCCACTGTCACTGCTGGAGCAATTCCTAGGCCAGCCCCGTGTGAGGCACCAGGGAGCAGCCTCCCCTGAGGCTCCATTCCTCCCGGGAAGAACCTTGGAGAGGCAAGGAATGGATCTGACAGAGCAGTGTCAGGCAATGGGCCGGGCTGATCATTTTCCTAGTTGGATAACCTGAAGCCTCTCAATGCACCGGTGCCCCTGCACAGGCAGAGCACCTCTGGAAACACCAGATGTTTCAGCACCAAATTTCCTCTCGGATCAAGTCTCTTCCCAAAGGCACAACCTCCCCTACAACACAGACTGAGCCAGCCACTATTACCAGATCAATTTTTTGATTTCCACCCACAGTTTCTAAAATAAATATCCAAGTAAGTCTTCTTGCTGGTACAAACCAATAGACAACTCCAGTGATTTGCAAAACAGGAGAACTATTTCTTTTCATTAAGACAATCCCCACTTAACGTCTGGAAAAGTCCTTGCAAACATAGAGGTAGCTGCAGCACTGGTAAAACTGCCAGAAACTGGATCCAGCACTAACTAATCCTCCAGTACCACCACCAAATGCAAGAGGAAAGACACTGGCATTCAGCAGGGGAAGCTTCTCTGTCACTGAAAGAAAATGAGTTTTTCAATAGATCACTGATCCTCAATTAGAGCATGACCAGAAAGGCCTCTGAAAAACACTTTTTGTTTTGCTTTGTTTAGGCGTTTTTAAATTAAAAGAGAGGTTATCAGATGATTTCAGTGTTCAGTGTCAGTTGAGCATCACATAAGCAGGTGAGATGTCACTAGACATCTAATTTCTTCCCTAATCAGGAGTGATAAAAGTTTTACATTCCAGAACTTTGTTTCACATTTAAAACCATACAACTACTTAAGGCATGTGTTAAAATCGTGCTTAACTCCTCTGCTGCTCCTCCCCAGGCACTTTGCCTGTAATACCACAACTCCCAACAACAATCAATAATATTTAATAAGTTGTATATTCACTCCTACATACATGAGGGCAGAGCCCCTTTTCTCCTAAAGTAGTTTCTTTCTAGCTATGCCAGTGAATTTATTTAAACTACAGCATAACCAGAACTCCCAATGTCCTAGAATCATGCAGGTTGGAAAACATCCTCTAAGATCAAGTTCTTCCAGACAAGCATCATTTTGTTCTAAGTATTAAATACTAAGAGAACCTTTAGCTCTATGTGCATGTTGATCCCACAGGGTGTTATGGTCTTGTCCCAGCAATTTTCAAGATTTCCATCTTCAGCCCATCCCCAAAATCCCACCCTCCCATGTATTTCTTATTAAACTTTCTCTTTTTGAAAGGGTGATCTTAAATCACAGGTCAAAGCCTCTCCTTTCCAATTCAGATTGTATTCCAGCTCTCTCCCACACCATGGGAATAAAAAGTTAGCAAGCAAAAACCAAAACTTCCATAACAAGACCAGAATCCCTCAGACCAAGGTCAGCACACCAGAGAACAAGCCCATTGCTGGGATTACAGCGCTTAAAAGCAGATAAAGTTGTTTTCACTGATGACAAGCACTTTTAAACATCTTAAAACCAGCCAAATGCAAGGTCACACATTTGTAAAATACCATCCCAGCGACAGGAACATGAAGGCATTAAGGACTTTGGGCAGCACTGCAGATGCCACGTGAAACTTAATTCCTGACACGAGTCAGTAGCAAAAGGGACTAATGGGAGCCTTGGAAAGGAGTATCAAGGACAAACACAATACTCTGTGTTTATAGCACATCACTGAGATCAATAACGGACTGTCACCCCCTCCTCAGGGACCAACACTTTAACAAGATTTAAAAGCCAGAAATGCCAGTAGAAATAACATCAGAGACCTGAAAGAGGCACCCTAAGGACAAGCTGTTTTAACAGGGAAGGTAAAGGGACGGCTTCATTAGCACCAAAGATTACCAATTCGCAAAGAAACCAGTTCTTTTTCACATCTAACACAGAAAATATACAGAAAAGCAAAACAATTCAGAGTTCAGTTAAAAACCCGGTTTTAGAGGTTTACTTCATTTTGCAAAGTGGAGATAATTGAGGATATTAATAATTAACAACTAAGGCAACTCTGTCACTTGTTGACAGCAGGTGAGTTGAGGATACATCAATCAAAGGTCAGCAAATGCAGCACAATCAATGACGGGATGAGTCTCAACAGCCCTCCATGAGCTCGTTGTGCTGTGACCCCAGCAGTCCTCCCGAATTCCAGCACCAAGGATGGCTTATCCAAAAGGTGTACCAAAAACATCACACCTAAACCATGCTGTGGCCGCTCCAAACTTGACTGTCAGCGACTAGTGGCGTTCCACAGGCTGCAGCTGGATGCCACACGGCCAACAGAGGATGGGACCACCTGATACAGCAGCACAGAGCAATGGCTGTAACAGCTCCTGCCAACCCCAAATTCCTAGAAGCAGGCGATTAAGGCAGCAGGTGACCCCCTTCCCCTAAAGCCACACACAGCAGGGGACACTGCCCAGCATTCTAGAGGTCAGGGGCAGGACAGGACGCCCAGCTGCCAAAAAACACAGAGCCCACAAGCACCTGACAGAGGCAGGGCAGGGCAGGAGGGGCACTGACCCTTCCCCTCGTTTCACCCACTACCTGACCAGCCTCGTCCACGATGGTACCTGTTCTTCCCCCAAATCTGGAGTCAGCTTCTCCTCTTTAGCTGCAACTTTCCTTTGCCCGTATCTCGTGCTAAAGCTACCCCCAAACCGGACTCTCCAGCCCCTCCCGGTTTAACTCACCACTCGAAACCTGCAAGCCCAGACCCTCTGCCCCAGGCAACTCCTCCCAAATCTCTTCATGAACCACTTCCCCAAACACAGCCCCAAATGATAATACCCTGTCCCTGAACCCCCAGCCCAGCTGAGCACCTCCAGCCCCACTAACACCCCCAAGTCCCGCAGCACAGATTTCCGTCAAACGCAGCCCCCGAACCCTGCTGCAAAGAACCCTCCCATACACAGCCACCCCAAACTCTCCTGTAGAGACCCTGCTCACACATGGCCCTCCCAAAATCTGCTGCACAGAGCCCTCTCACACACAGAACGCCGCTCGCACACAGCTCCGGTCCCACTCCCCCCGCCGCGGCCTCCCCGCGCGGGCCTCAGCGCGGGGCCCGCGCAGGCCGCACACAGGCCCAGCCGCTCGGCCACCCCCAGACCCGAGCCCGCAGCGCGTTCCAGGCGCGGTGCCGAGCTCGGCACTCACTCGGGCAAGTAAGTAGAGGAGAAGCTGCTCCAGCGGTGCAGGCTGTAGCCCAACACGCGACTCTCAGCGCCCGCCGGACCCGCCGCCGCCGCCATCTTGTTGTCAGCAGCGGCCCCGGCAGCGACCGCGGGGGGCGGGGCCAAGCTCTTAAAGGGGCCGCGCTCTTAAAGGGGCCGCGCCGGCGGGGGTGGGGACGGTGTGAGGGGTTTCGGGGGTGGCTGAGGGGCTGCTCTCTCGGGCTGAGGGGTTCAGACGCTGCCCCTCGGGGCTGAGGGACCGTGAGGTGTTCAGGGAGTGCCCCATGTAGCTCAGAGGGGCAAGGGGATGCCCTGAGGGACTCAGAGGATGCCCCATAGAGCTGAGGTGGCCTGAGGGGCTCAGGGCATGCCCTGAGGGACTGAGGTGGCCTGAGAGGCTAAGAGAGTCTGAGGGGATGCCTTGAGGGACTCAGAGGATGTCCCAAGGAGTTGAGGTGGCCTGAGAGGCTCAGAGAGTCTGAGGGGATGCCTTGAGGGACTCAGAGGATGTCCCAAGGAGCTGAGGTGGCCTGAGGGGCTCAGAGGGGCTGAGGGGATGCCCTAAGGGGCTCAAGGGATGCCGCAAGGGTTTGAGGTGAGCTGAGAAGGTGGGGGAATGCACTGTGGGGATGAGGGGCTCAGGGTGTGCCCCATGGGGTTCGAGAGGGGTGCCCTGAGGGGCTCAGGGGGCTGAGGAGAATTACCATTCTCTGTTAATTACCGAAGGAAATGCTCCTTCCCCATGCGGGTGAGTGATTGGGAAAGGAGTCAAGAGAAACCCAGTGAGGTTCAATCCTGCACCAGCTCCTGGAATTATAAAATTGTTAAGGTTGGAAAAGACCTTTAAGACTATTGAGTCCCCCCATCAACGCAGCACCGACAGGACCAGCACATAAGCTGGGCATTCTTTAACAAGCTTTTCTCTGTCTGAGGTTGTTGTAGGGTTATTCCTGGAGAAGGGAGATGTTTTCACCCAGAGCTCCCACCAAAGCAAGGGGGAAACGTGGGACACCCCTGGGGGAGCTCTGGGCTACTTGAGAATGAAGGGGAGATATTTCAAGACCAGGGGGAGGAAAAAAAAAGCCAAACGAATAAACCACTGTCTGTTGGAAATGACAGATTGGAGAGATATTATGAGGCAGGACAGCAGGATGCCTGGCTAGATTAAATTAGCACAAGGATTCTTTTATTTTTTTTTTCCTTTTATTTTAGGAAAGTGAGTGAGAATGTGGCAGCAAAATCTGCCTGCGGATGAAAAACTCTCTCAGCAGCCTTGAACATCAACTGGGTGTTTCAGAAGTGAGGGGGAGCAGAAAGCACTTCATCTCAAGACCCCTTCCCAGAGGGGGTTCACTGTGTTTTCACTGGTATCAAAGCCACACGGCTCAGCAACAACACAACAAAATCCATGGACGAGGCACAAACATCCACATCTCCTTCTGCTGCTTTACTAACGAGGCCTTTTGAAATTTGTGGCATTTCTGACTTCACTTATCCCAGCTCCAGCCTGCAGGCATCCCCCTCCCAAAATTGCCACAGGAATAATAAAACAAACACTTTGCTGATAATATTCTCCAACCTTGAGGAAGAGATGCCGCCTCAGTGTTCGGAGCCTTGCTAACAGCCACCCCAAGGGGAACGATGCTGTGTGAAACCTGTGACCTCTGAATATGAAATTTAGGGGATTGAGAGTGGGGGTAAGAGCCCTGCAGCAGCCAGGAGGAGGAGGAAAAGGAGGAAGAGCCAGCAGCTCGCTGCTGCACAGTGAAACCACCCCAGGATTTCTCTGCCCAATATCCTGTTACCACTTGAATCAAGACCTGGATGCCAAGCCAGCGTATTTTTAGCACATTTTGGACTTAAAGTGAAGGGAATGCTGGTGAAATACGCAGTACTGACAGCCCTGGAAAATCTTTATTCATCTGCAGCACAGGCAGCAGGGAAGGCTGTGAGGAAGCAGAGCAATCCAAAGCTGCAAACCGAGCCCTCTGGTCCCTCCAGCACAGCCTGCCCAGTCCTGTGCAGTTACCAGTGGCTGCTGGAGAAGAGGGTTTTTGCACACTCTGAATGGACAGAGCACGGTGGGGAGGAGCGTGGTGGGCAGGGCAGTGTTGTGCTGCAGATTTGGACGGCCTGCAGCCTCCAGATGAGCTCTCTGTATCCCAAACAGGGCAGCTGCTGGAGCCCAGCTGGTGACGGGGCCGTAGAAGAGGGGGAGAAAACTCAGAAAACACAAATATCTGAACCCCACTGTGCTGGTCCAGGCCTGTGCCGTGCTTGCTCTGCCAATGTAACACTGGATCTGAGGAATGTGGGGAGCCCAATGGCACCAACATGCCTCATCCTACCTCCAGCAGTGACTGAGACCCATTGTTCCAGGGAAGTACTGGAAAGAGGGCACTTACACATAGAATCATGGAATCATTAAGGTTGGAAAAGACTTTTAAAATTATCAAGTCCAACCATTAACCCAGCAGTGCCAAACCCACCACTAAACTATGTCCCCAAGTGCCACATCTCCATGATTTTTGAACACTTGTAGGGACGGTGATTCCACCACTACCCAGAACAGCCTGTTTCAGTGCTTAACAACACTTTCAGTGAAAAAAATTTCCATAATGTCCAATCTAAAGCTCCCCGGGACAACTTGAGGATGTTTCCTCTCATCCCATTGCTGGGAGCAGACACCAACCCTCACCTGGCTGCACCCTCCTGTCAGGGAGTTGTAGAGAGTGAGAAGTTCCCCCCTGAGTCCCCTTTTCTCCAGGCTCATTCCCTCCAGCTCCCCCCAGCTGCTCCTCATCAGACTTGTGCTCCAGGCCCTTCACAAACTTCCTTGTCCTTATGAAGCAAACCCTGTGCAGAGTTTTCCTTCTTCTGCCCCCCTCACTTGGGACCTCACTGAAAGCCTCCAGCACGTTTTGGTGCCTCCCAGCCCAGAGCTGCCTGGGTGGATCTGTGCTGCCTGTGGCTGGCTGCTCTCTGAGGATGGGGCCGCCGAGGGGAAGTGAGAGCTTTCCTAGCAGCAGAAGGTCCCTTTGGCGTTCAGGGACCAGCCTGCCAGAGAGCTCGGAGGTCCCTGGACGTGTGCCTTGGACAGTAGCTGGAGTTGCTGGGAAAGGCCAAGGTGACCGCAAGAGATGTTCCCCACGTCTCTTTGCCAGGAGGATGCACACACAGCATTCACATTTTTGTCATCAGCGAGCTGGAACCCCAACTACAGGAAACTTGGGGATTTTACAATTGTTTGTCAGCCTCGAGAGAAATATCTCATCCCCTCCATCAGAAACTTGCTTCTCTACTGCGCGTGTGTTTCGAGTTTCCTCATGCAAAACCTCGCGTGGGCGTTTGGATATGTAATGAGCACATAGTTCAGGATGAAAACAAGTTTCGTGGAAGAGCCAAGTAACGCCAGAAAAATGAAAGCAATACAAACAACAACATGGCACGCAGCCATACCAGCCAGCTCGTGGGCCAGCCGGATCTCACGTCCTCCCCGGAGCTGCGGAGCCGATCAGCTGTTGGAAAAAGAGACCTTTAAAGACAAGCGAGAGAGGAAATAGCATTGGCAGCACAGGCCGCTGCATGTTTCCTTCCAAAGCAGGACAGAGCCAAGGACATTAGGCAGAGCTGTAACATTTGGGGTCTCGTTGCTCAGCCATGAAGCAAGGCAGAAACCTCAAGTGGGCTGCAGTTGTGTAAACTCCTATTGTTTAGGGAGCGGAAGCGGAGCGCTGGCCCGGCGGGGTATTGTCCTACCAGATTTTGGCGGTGCTCACCTAACCGAGCTCCTCCTGCGAGGCCAGGGCCTCGTTTAACTCAGACATGGTGCAAAGGGAATAAAACCTCCTGCCTGCACCAGACCCAGGCTAAGAGCTTCCTCCCGAGCCAAATGCCTGCTCCTTCCCCTAGCACCCTCAAAGAAAAATGTTTCTAACCTGTGGGCAAGGCTGGAGCAGGACCAGAGGGAATTCCAAAAACTCCTCAAACTGGCCTCACTCGTCTTCATCTCTCATTTTGATGACATGATGGAAAAAAGTGGCAAAGCTCATTGAGACCCATTTCCTGTGGGGCTGCCATGCACATCCACACCGAAAAGGGATGAGAACAAGCCTTAAAACCAGATGATGTTTTATTTCTCCTCTTAGAGAGAGGGATCATCTGTGCTTCCTTACAATGCAGTAAAACAATACCTCCTTCAGCATAATAAAATACCTCTTCTGATCTAGGCCCTGATCCAAGCATCTGCTCCTGGGCTAAACACTCCAATACCTGCTTGAGTCCTCTTCACTGCCTCTTGCAGCATCCGTCCTTTGGTTGAAGGCTTAAATCAGTGAAAGACCTCACTGACAATCCAGAAGATTGAAAAGGGCCCGAAATGCCAGCGCCTCCATGCACACATTGGCATAATTCTCTGCATAAAAGCCAGCTTTAAAAGGCTTGTTTTGCAAAGCACAAGTGTGCATTTTTTTCGAATCAAGGTCAGTAACTCAGCTTCATTCACTAGTCTCCAGCTGCAAAACAACATGCCCCAGACAATGGAGGAAAGTGTATCTGAGTCAGAAGATGCCTTTTAAGGGATGCAAGTGGCTCTGAGCCACACTGGGGAAAGAAGGTCTCCTTGGTACCCTGGCATGCTCAGCCCTGTCTGAACTGAAATAGGACACCCGAGGGCAGGGAAAGACAGTGAGATGGGAATGGTGGCACAAATCACACTCACACTCGCCATCCTTTGGTAAAATCACAGAATGGTTTGGGTTGGAAGGGACCTTAAAATCATCTAGTCCCAACCTCACCTGCCATGAACAGGGATACCTTCCGCTACATCACATTGCTCAAGGCCTTATCCAGCCTGGCCTTGGACACTGCTAGGGTTGGGTCATCCACATCGTCCCACTGGTGCTCCAGTGCCTCACCACCCTCACAGTAAAGAATTTTTTCCTAGTACGTAGCCTTAATTTCCCCTCTTTCACTTTGTACCCATTACTCCTTGTCCTGTCACTACAGTTCCTGATGAAGAATCCCTCTCTGACTTCCCTGTAGGCCCCATTCGGATACTGAAACGTTGCTATGAGATCTCCACACAACCTTCTCTTCTCCAGGCTGAA